TTCATCTATTTTAAATATGCTTTTTATCTTCGTGTATTATTTAGTGAATAGTGTGTTTTCTGTATGAAGCACAGGAAGACACAATTTAAATCAAGAAGGACTCCTATGTATATAATACACTAGGTAGCTTGCGAATGGAAAGTCTGCTGTTAGTTGGGCAACTTTTGCAATTTTTATTTAATATATCTTTATTGGCACAGCTAATTTTTAATTTATTAAAAGTCTTGTATAGAATGCAGTCAGACATCGGTACTGAAATAATTTTACCCTCTGCAGTACAATTAATTTCATGTGACCCTTTTTTCTGTGCCATCGTTGGGAGCAATTTTGAGGCACTGCAGTGAGGAATTTGCCTGATTTTTACCTTGTTCTTGCCTTTAGGTATCATTTTTTTCTAGCCTCATGAATCAACGAACTACATTTTCCTCCTCCTCACAGACATTTATAACCAGGTCTTGCTCTTTCTATTGTATATTTGTATTCTGTCCGAAATCTGCTTGTTTACATTTTGCAAATATTATGTGCTTTTTAGAAATAACTGAGTGAACTGGCAGTTCACAATTTGAATACGGAGCTTGGTGTATGTAGTCCCCTAAACTGTTCAGAAAAAATCTGTTTAACTCCATATAATTTAGACCTTCATTTTCTGTATCGGGTTATGAAAGTTGTCTACAGAACGTGCTCATACAGGTCTTTTCTTACACAAGCATATGTGTAGTGTGTAGTATTTTTTGCAAGGACTTTTACTGATTTATAATTGCATCCACACTTAGTTTATGCCATTGCAGTTACTTAACTTCAGAGCATATATTAAACAGGGAGGTGTCACCTTCCTTGAAGCTTTCATGAATGTGACCAGTGTATTCCTGTTCCATAATGGGGAGTGAACCGTTGAACTCCAGAACGTAGTCCAAAGGTGCATTTGTAGGTCGCACTTCAAAAGTGTACCAAGAGACTATTGCAAATAAATAAGATTGAGATTTGAAATCAGAATGAACACCGTTGTTGTAACACTGAATGAATTAAATTTAGATCAGAGCGATGAAAAAGCTGTCTCAATGTCATGGTGTCTTTCCTTAAGCAAAGTGTCAACATTTTTATTTTTACTTGTTTTGACACAGCTCTATTAATTTAATTAGGCCTAACTTGTCAGAAGTCTTTTTTTAAAAAGAAGCAATTCCATTGTACCTTTTATTTCTTAAGATGCAGTTGTTGGGGAGTATGTTCTGTTGTTACAAAAGATGGGTTTCATAGTCGCTTAACCAGGAATGCTTCTCTGACCAAAGAAAAGAAACACAAAAATATGGCTTGAAAGTCCAAATGGCAGTTTTTTGATTCAGGGTAGAGGGTTAAAAACAGCTGTCCCCAGGATCCCGCAATAAATTTGCTCACTGTTCAGACGTCTACAGTATTTGAGACTGTCATTGTGTTTTTCACATTTTTTAAATACGTTTGTATTAGCATTAATATATCTGCGTTGCTTTGTTTTTTTTCCAGATATGGACGTGTTGAAAGTGTCAAAATACTCCCTAAAAGGGGGTCAGAAGGTGGAGTGGCAGCGTTTGTGGATTTTGTGGACATCAAAAGTGCGCAGAAGGCACACAACTCTGTCAACAAAATGGGAGATAGAGACCTACGGACGGATTATAATGAACCAGGAACCATTCCGAGTGCAGCTCGGGGATTGGATGATACAGTTTCCATAGCGTCTCGTAGTAGAGAGGTTTCTGGGTTCAGAGGAGGTGGTGGGGGACCGACTTATGGCCCCCCACCATCACTTCATGCACGGGAAGGACGTTATGAGCGGAGACTTGATGGGTAAGTTCCAAGGTTTCTCTAGGCAGGTATTTTGTATTTGATATGGTGAGAAACACAAACTCAAATATAGGGCCCCCAGATGGATTTAAAATTTTGGGAATTATCTATGTTTCCTATTTTGGGTTGGAAACGGAAGTGATTTCTATCCCAATGGCTGGTATCTTGTGGATCCGTAGAGGATGTTTTCTGCAGCTGGTTGGATATCTACACTTGAAATAAGATGGTCGTAAGATGGAAGATTTCCTGTGGCCAGCTTCGATATTGGAGTTATTCTTTTAGAAGTAATGATTCCATTTCTTGGATAATACTAAGGCCTTATTTGGATGTATCCATACTACCAGATGGAGCTATATTGCCGCAGCACGTTTGAAGTTTGGTATGGAGTACCTCGGAATACTAGAACCTAGGATTCTTTGAAAGCTTGATGCCTAGTTCTCAGTTTTCACTATATACGGTTTATGTATATTAATTGGATTGTCACCAAAAATTTTCTAGTAGACTGTAGTGATGCACTGTCTTGGATTCTACAAACAACAGTTAGCCATGGAAATAAGCACTGGATGGAGAAGAGAGAAGGCAGCTTTTGATGTTTCCATTTTGGATCTACATCATTTCCAAGTGATTTGGATTATTCTTCCTGATGGTATTGGCAAAAAAGAGATGGTGGACTTTACTAAATTTTGGAAATTATAGTAATTTTAAATGTGCTGGAATAAGAACTACTGCTTTGAATTTATTGGATGGTATACAGTCAAGACATCAATAGCCAAAGGGAGTGGATTACTATCTAGCTTTTTAAAAGCCCTTTGCTACTCCAGAGTTAAAGGTACTTTAGTTTTAAGGACATGGCACCAATTACCAGTTTGTGGATACGTCAATCAAAATTGACTGGGCTGGATGGTTACAAAAGTGGATAGAGGATGCCGGCTGTCCAGCAGCGATGCATTCCGTCATGCATCGGGGTTTACTTCTACCAGCTGCTTGATTCAGACATAGGGCTGGAAATTAAAATAATGGATGTATTTAAGTGCCTACTCACTCAAGAACGAAGTCTGGGGGTTTCAGAGTTATGGTTTCAGTCTGGGACTACTTCCTTCCAGTGGAATTTTTTTTTTATCTTGTCACTAAGATTTTTTTCTTGTGGTTCATCTAAAATATCATTTGACACCCTTGCCCATTAAGAAGGTGGATTACCCCTATAAGAGGGGCCAAAATTGGGGAAGTTATGTTCACAATTCTCTCCCTAGATTTAATTGGGAATATAGGTCGTGTTTCCACACTTGGAAAAGGTTGGTATGTCCTGCCCTGTGTATATTAGACCCTCTCCTAACCCAAGTCAAACCCTCTCTTTCCACTAACTCCAGTAGTACTTAGTACTAATAGATAAATCAAAAAAGCACTGTAGCCATTAGATTTTCAGCTCTGCTAGCTCCTGTGTCTGTCTTCTGTGTCCTTTTCATGGATAAGGACTTTGTTCTTTTATGTCAGCTATAGCAGTAACCTTCTAGAAATAATGCTTCTTCTGTTACTTCATTAAATCAGCTTTCACTGATTAACATTTGATAGGGTGCTAAATGCAATCATTTATAAAATTGTTGATCTTGTTCCTTCAAAAGGGGGGAAAAAAGAAACACTCTTATTTGCTAGACCTTGAAATATCTTTCTAAATGCCATTGTTACAAATAACAGATAACAGAGTAGACGGCTATGCAGCGAATTTTAAGTAGGAAAGAAGTTATTGGAATTTTATTTTACATTTTGTTACACTGGCTGGCTTCCTTAAAGAGAATTGAGAGGAAAAATACAGACTAGGCAGATTACTGGTATGAAACCTTAAATTGAGCCACAGTGTAATAGTTAGAGGGTGGATATAGCTGAGGATTAGGGGCCCAGCATGTCTCTGGGCTCATTTGTAGTTGCTGAGGCAGTTTTTTGGGGTATTCATCAAAGATGGTTCCAGTCCTATCCTCTTCAATTTGGAAAAAAAAAATTTAAAATATTTCCACCACTTTTAATAGAAAAAAACAGCAGATGAGGAGGAACTGTGGAGTGAATTGAGTTATTAGGGGCTAGGGAAGTGAAGTGGTTGATAATTAATTGGCTCTCCAGGAAAAAAAAATCTGTAAGAATGCAGAGGTACATGTTAAAACATTCTTCAGAAAATCAATAATTAAAATTTGAAATGAACATGTTATTGACACTGGCATTTTTCTAATTATGCAAGTATTTTTTTCAAACACTCAACATTTTTTTCTTGATCTTTCATTTTTTAGACATATCTTCAAGAGATGCCATCCTGGTATCTGTCTAAATTAGAATACTAAACTATTTACAGCGTTCTCTTGACTTCATCTTTCAATTTTGCTATACCCTTATTTGAAAGAGCACACTAACATTCTTAAAACACCAAACTTTTCTTTAGTTACATGCAAACGTTTTTCAATATTGAGAAACAGAATAAGCCTTAGCTACTCTAAATCAGCATGTTTCAGTGGCACAGGGAGGATAAAATCCTCTGATTGCAATTACAAATGAAACAGTCCCAGCAATTAAACATGGACAGAAAAGTTAATTTATACCTCTTCATGTAGGTTTTGGGGAACTGTGTTCTCTTTGATAGTTACTGATATTTGCAAATTAAATATTCTGATATTAGCGTTTAGAATATTTTCTTAAGAGGAGCCATATACCCAGGAATTTGGGTATAGAAACTCATTGTAAAGAGGGTGGGAACAGTTTACAGAAAAGTTAATTTTCTAGGCTTCTCTATGGGTGATGATAACCCCTTTTGAAAGCAGCTTCTTTCTTCTGGGTCATGCTTTGCATTGAGGCTTTCATGGCTATAGCCAAATTTGTGATGTATTCTTTCTGGAGAAGGATAATTCTAAAATGGAAAATAAATGTACATATTCACAAACAAATTTCTTAAAAACTTAGATCAAGGCTGCATTAAAAAAAATTAATGCTGTTACTTAAAAGCCTGAGGATTTTTTTGTTCATTGAACTTAAACAAGTTGAACAAAGTTTCCACGCTGGAATGGGACAAATCAGTGTATTTTGCTATGCATTGCACTGGTCATGAAAGCCCAATAATTAAAACAAAATGATTGCTCAGCTTTATTGTATATAAATATAATTTTGGATTAAAGTAAACGTTTAAGCTGGTCAATGTTTGCTTAATAAGTTATTTCTGTTTAGTGGAAAACAGTTTAAAAAATAAAGTCAGTGCTGAAGTGAATGTTTGCATGATTTGCTTTTAGTTGTGCTTGCCATTTTCTGATTGATTAAATATTTTTCCCCCCTCCTAAATGCAGGGCTTCAGATAACAGGGAGCGTGCTTATGAACATAGTGCCTATGGACACCATGAACGGGGGACGGGAGGATTTGATCGGACAAGACATTACGATCAGGATTACTATAGAGATCCTCGAGAGCGGACTTTACAACATGGGCTCTATTATACTTCTCGGAGTCGAAGTCCAAACCGTTTTGACGCTCATGACCCCCGTTACGAACCTAGGGCCCGGGAGCAGTTTACATTGCCCAGTGTGGTACACAGGGATATCTACAGGGATGATATTACGCGGGAGGTACGAGGCAGAAGGCCAGAACGGAATTACCAGCACAGCAGGAGTCGGTCACCACATTCGTCCCAATCTAGGACCCAGTCTCCTCAGAGATTGGCTAGCCAAGCATCTAGACCCACAAGGTCCCCTAGCGGCAGCGGTTCTAGGAGTAGATCTTCAAGTAGCGATTCAATCAGCAGCAGCAGTAGTACCAGCAGTGACAGGTAGGTCACTTTTGGTTATGACAAATGTGTTGGTAAATGAAACCAAGCAGTGGTCGTGAAGATAATCACCACAGTACAGTCCTTTTTTCTGGATGGCATCTGTAGTAAGTAAAAATGAAGAAATGGAACCTCAGAATGTGGTTGCTGAATAACTAATGTGTAGTAATGGATGGGACGCCGCTGCAAATCGCTCTGAATTTTGTTGCATAACTGCAAAAGTAAGCAAGCGTGAAATATTCTAAGGATGCTGCGGCACAAAAGAGAACTGTTCGTTTAATTAGACAAGTGGTGGTGTCGTCGCAATAACGAATGATTCTGTAGTGTGCAAGTCAATCTTCTGTAACATGTTGAATAACAGTAATTAAAAATCTTACAAACAAGACTTCACTAAAACCCTCTGCTACTACTGTGTTGAGAAATGGGGATAGACCATTAGTTTTAGTTATTCAGATTATGCATAAGCAAATTATTGAGGTTCCACTGTATTTTTAAAGAACACCTGATTTTAAGTGTCTATATGAGAGAGCAAATATCCTGTCCAGCTTCCTTGAAAAATAAGGTAAAATCTCTGATATTTGGAAGATGTATATTGTCAGCTCTTTCACATTTCTTTACAGTATAATCCTAGAATTCTAAGAATAGGAAAAAAATCTGATTATTCAACACCTAGTAACATGGTGGTATTATTAGCTACATGATTGCTTCAGGATTTCCGCTATTTTAGTATTGAAGTGTAAACTGCAAGTGGTCCAAAATAGAAAAATAAAATCAAACGTACCAAAGAGCTGCATTTCTCCCAATGGACTGAAATATCCTATTAAGCTTTTTTCCGGATTTTCACCTTCTTCAGTTGTGATAAACATTGTAAGTAGGTTTGCAGACTGAGAGCCAACAGAAAAGTAATGGTGGTAACTCAGACTGCATCTGATCTGTTTGGTGAGGAGCTCAGTTGCTGAACAAGTCGGGCAGGTTTTAGAAGTTGAAAACATTGCTGTGGCTAACTAATTGCTTTCTAAAATGAAAAGTATTGAAATACTTCATGTTTAAGGAAACCAGTGCCAAACTGCAATATTAGTTTAATGGCTTATTTAGCTCTTTGAACAAAATTTTACAGCTGGTAACTGAGTTGTAGCTAAATAATTATTCTCGTCAAATTAACATCTTAAAATCAGGCCAAATAGGTAAGTGGGTTGATTTTGGAGGACCCTGAAAATGTGGAGTTAAAAATGGGTTTTGCCCTTTGGGTATTTGTGTGATGGCATTTCAGTTACTTATGTTCAATGCGTACTCTGCTAGTTCGACCTTTAGAAATTCAGGTCCTGATTAGGTGGGAAGACTGTAATGTCTGGAGAAGCAGCAATGGGCACATTGTAGGAACAGTTGAGAAAGGACGTTATCTGGGCTGTTTCTAAGAATCTTTGAATCTGTTTGTTTTAATACCTGTCTTTCAAGGGCAAGGCAACATTTTGGGTGAAGGAA